TTAGTACTAAAAATCAGGATAGTGCCTTCAGGCCATATGAGCAGGGCCGCCATCAGGGGGTGACAACCATAATGGTTGTCACGGCCCGGCAGCCCTGGGGGGCCCGGCCCCCACATGTGGGGCCCATCGGGTGGCCCACACACTTAGGGCCACCTGATGGGCCGTATATCTTCAGGGGCCCGGTTAGCGCTGTGGCAGTGATATAGCGCAACCGGGCCCCTTTAAAAAAAAAAAAAAAAAAGCCGCAACTGCTGCTGGGAGGAAGTGGTCACTTCCTCCCAGCTCACTCTGCGCGGGAGGAGCGCGAGCACCAGAGAAGAAGGAAAGCCAGGCAGTGAAGTGGAAGCTGCGCTGACTCCCATCATCCCCAGCCACCCTCCTGCAAAGAAATTGTAAAAGACAGGAGGGTGGCTGGGAAATGAGCTGTGTGTGTGTGTGTGTCTGTATGCATGTATGTCTGTCTGTCTGTATGTGTATGTTTGCCTATGTCTGTCTGTATGTGTATGTTTGCCTATGTCTGTCTGTCTGTATGTATGTCTGTCTGTATGTATATGTATGTAAGTCTGTCTGTATGTATGTATGTCTGTGTATGTGTGTATGTGTCTGTCTGTATGCATGTATGTCTGTATGTGTATGTATGTCTGTCTGTGTATGTATGTATGTGTCTGTCTGTATGCATGTATGTATGTCTGTGTATGTATGTATGTATGTATGTGTCTGCATGTACGTCTGTCTGTGTATGCATGTCTATGTCTGAGTGTATGTATGTATGTCTATGTATGTATCTGTCTGTATGTCTATGTATGTCTGTATTTATGTATGTGTATGTATGTATGCATGTATGCATGTATGTCTGTCTGTAGGTCTATGTATGTCTGTCTGTATGTATGTCTGTATGAATGTGTATGTCTGTCTGTATGTATGTATGTATATGTATGTATATATGTATGTCTGTATGTCATTATTTATTTATGTATATATGTATGTCTGTATGTCAGTATGAATGTATATCTGCATATCATTATGAACGTATGTCTGTGTGTATGAATGTCTGTATGCATGTATGTCTGTCAGTATGTCTGTATATATGCATGTATGTCAGTCTGAATGTATGTATGTATGTATGTCTGTATGCCATTCTGAATGTATGTCTGTGTATGTCTGTATGCCATTATGAATGTTTGTGTGTATGGATGTCAGTGTCTGTATGTATGTCGGTGTCTGTATGTATGTATGTGTCTTTATGTCCTCATGCATGTATGTCTGTATGTATGTTAGTAAGTTTGTGTCAGTATGTATGCCTGTATGCGTCTATGTCTCAGTATGTGTGTGTCAGTATGTATGCCTGTATGCGTGTATGTCTGTTTCAGTATGTGTGTCTGTTAGTATGTATCTGTGTCCTTTTGTATCAGTGTGTGTGTTTGTGTCTGTGTGTGTATTCCTGTAGGCGGTATTTGGAGGCGGGCCCCAGGGGGCCCAGACTCTGAGCTGAGTTAGGGGCCCCAAAATTTCTGGTGGCGGCCCTGCATATGAGTAGAACAGTGTTGTTACGCTGGCTAGTGGGTGCATGGCAATTGTTGAGAACTGCACTGGGAACTTCGGCATGTACATTCTTATGTTTTTTTTTATGTGTATTATTCCTAATCTTCCTTTTTAATGATGTGGGGTCTCCTGTATCTATTGGGAAAGTATGTTCCCATGACTGGGACACATATGAATACAAAAACCTATCATTAGTATTATTGGTTATTTCCATGGCACAATTCCCTCCTGTAGACATCTCAAACTATTGTATATATAGAAAGGCGTAGCCTGTAATTATGGGAGGGGTTACCTGGCTATAAAAGCTCAGGCCCCCTCCTAATCAGTACTGGTATCGCTGGGTTCATTGAGAACCTTTTGACTTCCGGTTCAAACGTACCTCCCACGTGGTTCGTTTCCGTCCAGTACTGCCTGCTTCTTGTTCTCCCTGACTGGTGCAAGTCTCGTTGGTCTCCCTGCCCGGCATCAAAACCAGTCAAGTGGCCCATTGCACCACCAAATCAGTTCACCATCCATGCCCACCTTTTCCTGGTTTTATAACGGATATTGATGTTATGGTAATCAGTAGCTCTTTGCCATACCCCGCTATTTCACTGCTCTGACTTTCAATGTTGTTAGAGCGCAGGCTGAGAATCTCTGAGCCTGTGCTCTGACTCGCTAACTGAGCACCGGAACTACAAGGGATAGGATATAATCTGACTGCACCTACTGCTGGTGGGCACCAGTGGACCACCAGCAAATCGTTTAAATTGAATATGGGATGCATTGTGTGTTTCTGTGTATGTATAGGGATGCATTGTGTGTGTGCACGCGTAGTGTGAAAGAGCTCCATGTCTTGCCCCCTGTACTATAGAGCTGTCCCTTCTGTCCCTTAGAGCTCTCCCCTGCCCCTTAGTGGTCTCTCCTCTCCCACACCCTCCCCTAGCAGACTCTTCTCACACTCACCCACCCTCCCTGTGTTCTCCTCACCCCCTCCTCCCTGTGTTCTTCTTACTTCCCCCTTGTTCTTATTACTCCTCTTTCTTCTTCTTACTCCCCACTCTTCTTCTTACTCCACCCTTCTTCTTCTCTCCCCTCCTTCTTAACCCCCTCTTCTTCTTCTTACTCCTCGCTTCTTCTTACTCCCCTCTTCTTCTTCTTACCCCCACTCTTCTTCTTCTTACTCCCCTCTTCTTCTTACCCAGACTCTTCTTCTTCTTATCCCCTCTTTTTCTTACTCCCCCTTCTTCTTACCCCCTCTTTTTCTTACTCACCCTTCTTCTTATCTCCCCTCCTTCTTACTCCCCCTTTTTCTTACTCCCCTTCTTCTTATCTCCCCTTTTCTTACTCCCCCTTCTTCTTATCTCCTCTCCTTCTTACTCCCCCGTCTTCTTCTTACTCCCAACTCCTCTTCTTCTTACGCTCTTCTTCTTCTTATGCCCCTCTTCTTCTTCTTACCCACCTCTTTTTCATACTCCCCCTTCTTCTTATCTCCCCTCCTTCT